AAGGGGAAAGGAGGCCGTGGCTGGACACGCACAGACACCCGAACCCTGGGGCTATCTGTTTGGCATAAGAAGTGCCAATTCTACGGGTGACAGCGGTGCCCCTTTCACAGGTGGCAGAGAAACAGCCGGAGGTCCTGGGCTTCCCTTTGCGGGCGCCTTGCCTGGCAGGACAACTGGATCTGCCAAAGGGAGTGAGGGCGAGGAAAGGTGCCAGGGGGACAACGGGGACCTTGTCCTTTGTGAGCACCCGGAGGCCAGGAAAACCCAATAGAAGAACACCAAGTGTACTGCAATTTTAAAACTACATATGAACATTATTATTTTGCATTTTTAGTCATTTTATTCTTAGAGATTTCCCTTTGTGTGACGTTTTATTAGTTTACGATTGCAGTTTTATCATATGTTTATATTATATTATTGTTAGCCGTCTAGAGTAGTGGCCTGGCCACTAGATATGCAGGACGGACGGACAGACGGATCGATGGACCAACCAACCAACCAACCATACGGACGGATGGACAGACGGACGGACGGACCAACCAACCAACCATGCAGGTAGATGGGCAGGTTCAATTTACCGTGGCAAGCAGAACAAAAGGGTCCCTGGCTGCTGTCATTGCAGCCTATTTAGGTGTGTGGAGGAGGGCTTTGTCACGTACCTCCCGAGCTGACAGAAATCACTGCTTGGCTAGCTCCCCGTTTTCCCCCAGGATGATTAGCATTTTTGAGGCACTCCTCATGTTCCAGGCATGCTTCCTTCATCCTCCTTACTTGGGCTCCTTGTCAGTCTGAGTCAGTTTTACTTCCTCTCATCATAGGACCAAGACTGACTGAGGGCCAACCGTATTTATCACGGATGTGGCAGGATCGCTGACTGGCTAGGATAACCCCCTATGAAGGAACGAGCCCATCGGAAAGAGAGAGCTTAAAGCAGGGCCTGGAGGAGGGGGGGGGGATCTTCCGACCCGCCAGGCTCACGGGGGTGTGTGCAGACCCCAAACACTGCAAAAGTCTGGAGAATGCGTCACGGGGGGGGGGTGTGTGTGTGCAAACCTCAAACACTGCAAAAGTCTGGAGAATGCATGTCAACGCTAGAAGTTTCCAGAATCCCGTATGTATTTCGGTTCAGGGCTCCAGTTCCCTGCCTTCTGCTTTATGGCAAAATCATCACTCCCGGAAACATCCAGGAGCTGAAAATGTCATTCCCCCCCCCACTCCTTTCTGTCCAACTGTTTTCCAGAAGGAGGTCACAAGAATCCCAGTCGGGCTCCCCTTTGCCAGTCCCTGGCTCCGAGGATGAAACTAGGACACAAGCAGAAGCCGGCAGAGAAAATGGGCCCCGGTCGGTTCGAGAACGGGAAGAGATGATCTTCGTGGCTGGAAGGGAAAATCCTGATATGAGGGGAGAGGGTTGATCCTCTCTTCTCAACCGCCAGCAAAGACGGAGCTCCATACAATGATTAAAATCACATTTCCAAAGACAAAATCCACAGCTGAGGAGGACATAAAAACGGAACCATCCTCCCAGTCCAGGAACAGAATAAAGACCACAGCTGTGGACTCGGCAAAAGCTTTTCCAAAGAGAAAATAAACACTTCGGGGTCAGCCTCAGCAACCTGGTTTCCTGCTCCGCTTCTACTGAAACCCTGGAAAGGATCCTATCCTGTCACGGACAGGTCCGTTCTGTTACGAGGGGCAGCAAGTCCTGGGCATCAACAGGAGCTGACACGGGGTGTGTGTGTGTGTGCCACGCAGACCGAGGGCAAAGCCAGATTAAGTCTGTAAAACAAATTTTAACCAGGAGAAAAACAGGACCTGGGAGGAGGCCAGCGCCTTCCGGCTTAGTTCCTCTGCCTTTCCCAAAGGTCTGAGCTGTGAACAAGAACGGAGGATGATTCTTCAGGGGAGGGGGGGCGGCACAGGACACGAGGCAGTATCTGCTAACCGCAGCAGCTGTGGCCCACCACACCTGCTAAGCAGCCACGTCACCTGGAGGGGCCACGTCCAAAGTGGGTGACACCGTGCAGAGAACACCAATTCCTGCTGCCAGAAGGAGAGGGATGTGGCTCTTTTCTCCTCCTGCGCATGGAACTGGATTTGAAACAGGAGACATAAACACAGCGGAGCCAACGACACGGAAATGGTCTTTCAGTTCATAGTGGGTATGGGGGAACAGAAACCTTAGATTTTCGCACAACAGTTCGGGGAATTCCCCAAACAGCCTGGTCAGGGTGGGCTGTGAAAGATCCCCCAACCCTAAAAAGCGACCTGGATCCATCGGGACTGATCTCAGGTCAGGAGCAGAGTCTCGGGTGCGGTACTGCAGTTTAACTAACTGCTGTGCCGTGATGCAGCCAATGTGGTCCTTGGTCAGCTTTTCCGGTCATGAAATGTCTTGAACGGCTTGCATGGGATATCACAAACTCCAAGTGAGGATACCACGAGGAAACTTACAATCTACAGAAAGCCTCTTACGTGGGTCGTATTAATTACAGGCGGCCGTTCTCTGTGGCTTCGGAAAACAGAACAGCCTAAAGACCGTTGGTGGGGCTTGCCCCTGTAATACTTAAAATTGCTGAGTTTAAATGACAGGAGCAACCCACCCACTCAATCAATCAATCAATCAATCAATCAATCAATCAATCAATCAATCAATCAATCAATCAATCAATCAATCAATCAATCAATCAAGCAAGGAAGGAAGGAAGGAAGGAAGGAAGGAAGGAAGGAAGGAAGACACACTACTTTTTTTTTCTTTGCCTTTGTTACTAAAGTCAACTAGAAAGAAATTGGCTAAGTGGAAAATAACATTTACCAAAACGTCAGAAATCCTGGCAGCTCTGAAATTATTCGGTCTCCTTCGACTAGGAGCAATACAGGGAATGGGCTGCATGTGATGCCAGGAAGGGAGGAAGCTGCTGCCTCGCCTCTTGGGAAATGAAGGTGGCCAGATGCAAACGGTGGGTGGAAGAGGTAGCAGCCCCAGTGCCGCTAATTGTTGTACAGGAGAGGGAGTCGGCACAGCGGTCCACGGCTGCAGAAGCACCTCTATGGGCACATCTGTGCACGAGCCTTGCTCTCTCCTGCATCTGCCATCTTTTTCCATTTTTGCGCTGGCTTTCTAGGGCGCCGGGCACCACCCAGCCTTGCCTCCTTGGAAGCTGGAGGTCAGGAGGATGAGCTGGTACGTGGCCTGGGGCCACACAGCTGACCCGAGCACTGGCTGGCATGCACGAAGCGGCGTGGCATCTGCCAGCCCGTGGGCTGCCCATCTGGCAGGGAGCATTCTGTCGACGACGTGCCATTTCTGGTTAAACAAAACGAGTAAATAACTGATTGTTTAAAACCCACCAACTGACAACTGAAGACGCGAAGCCCAAATTAAGGGTGGCAGCGGTGAAGGAAGTGCGGCGGCGAGTCTATAAAACTGGCAAGCGGCTCCAGCAATTTAATTTACTTCACAGAACAAGAGCTCTGGATTAGGTTAGGCAACTGGCAGGAAGGACAGGGAGCCAGGTGGCCAGCCCCGCCCCCTCAGAAGACAGCAAGAGGCTTTGGAACTCACCGCCTCAGGGACAGGGTGGAGGTCGGCAGAAGTAGCCAGGAATCGGGTCGATGGGCTGGGAGCGAGCCGGCTGCAACGTCCTTGGCACTTGTGACTGGGGCAGAACCTGGAGGAGGGGGAGCTGTTTAAGAAAACCGTTTCCTTGCCACGTTGGCAGCCAGAATTTTTTAAATGCAGGTCCTTCCTAATGTTTTTCCACCCTCTGTGCTGGGAGGTGGGTGGGGTGGTTCTCACTCTGCAGCTTCCTGTGGAGAGCTGGCCACTCGTTCCACCTGCAAGGATGCTGTGATCAAGGCAGAGTTTGGAAAAGCGTGTTTGCTTTTGGGTTGGCGTAGAATACAGTTCCCAGGATCCTCGCAGCCAGCACGACTGCAGTTGCTGAGGGTGATAGTTGTTGCATTGGTTTGGAAATTCTGGTTCAATTCCCCTAACCGTGCAGTAGAAGTGCAGGAATTCACAGAGCAGAACTAGCTTCAAGTTCCCCTCCCCTTTTTCTCATCAACTGGCACTTACAGTCTCAATAACTCAACTCTGAGACATTTGTAAGAAGGAAAAAGAAAGGGTTTCATTTACTTACAGTAAATATCTTGTACTGTATAACAGCAAGCTAACAACACGACTGCTTTGAGCAACAGGCCTGAAGAGACTGAACAACAGCTTACAAGAGAAAAAAGAAAAAGGAAAGAGGCAGAGTGAGGCGGGACTCTCTCTGAATCAGAGGCAAGGAAGGAATGATTGGTTAGTGCTGGTTAGATTGACAACCAGCCCAGCCCATAAAGATCCCTCTCAGTCACAGCCACTAGAGGCAGCCTGTGAGCTTACCAAAACTTCAACGCTCATTCAAAGAATTGTACTTGTACCCTGTTTTTCCGAAAATAAGACCGGGTCTTATATTAATTTTTGCTCCAAAAATGCATTAGGGCTTATTTTCAGGGGATGTTTTTTTTTTCATGTACAGTCATCTACATTGATTCCAATACCATGATGTCACCTTATTCTGGTTGCTGCACAAGATTGGAGAGCAAGGGTTTCACTTCACTGGGGCTTGTTTTTTGAGTAGGGCTTATATGACCAGCATCCTGAAAAATCCTACTGGGGCTTATTTTCAGGTGAGGTCTTATTTTCAGGGAATCAGGGTAAAAAAACAACTTTTCCAAGTTCTGGGCTAAAGTGTACCATCCTGTATTCTAAGGACTCTTCACATCACAGCATTGTGTTTGTATCAGCTTAATTTCTTTCTTTAAAAAAAGCTACATGTGAAATATCCCTGGCTGATGCACTTCCAAATGGGGGGAGAGACATGAACCTCCTCTTCACATCATAAAACCAGTGAGGTAGACTTTAGAAAACCCTCCCATTCTCCAGCAGTTCTATCTTTGGAGAAACCAAAAAGGGGGTAAGAAGAAGAAGAAGAGAGTTTGGGATGAGCTTAAGCTAACTAATTGTACTTGGAAGTATGTACTCTTCCTTTCAGTACGAACATTTGGGACTGCAGAACATAAATAATATGTGCATGAAATAAGGTAGAGTACTTGCTAAATTATTTGTCCTCGCTGATTTCAGCTGTCTTGACACAATGAGATGCTGAGGAAATGTCAAGATCCCAGGCTAGAGAGAGACAGAAAGCACTATCCCCCCCCCCCTTTGGCAAGGTCTCCAGCATTTGCAAACTCTCTTTGTGCAAACCTTAGAGAAAGTAAGGCTGCGTGGGTGCGCGCGCACACACGCGTGGCAAGACTGAAACAACTCACTGGGTGTTAAAAAAGGAACAGAAGGAACTTTCCAGTGGGTCCTGCTCCATCAATGCTCCATGCCACAAAACAGGAGCCCCTTTGCTAAATTTGCACCCCTGAGACCTTTTACTTCACTCTCCGATGGGGCAAGAATAATAATTTCTCTGTATGACAGTCCCACAGTTCTGTGTCCAAGGATTTATATACCCTACGTGAGACTCTTTCTCAATGCATGGACCCCCATAGGCATGCATGCGCGCACACACGCACGCACGAACACACACACAGAGACACACACCCCTCTTCAATTTGGAGGTGAACTGTCCCAGACACTGGCAAAAGTTTCTGCATTCTTTCCCAAGGTGAGCGACTGCAACTGGAGAAATGTCTAGGAAGGAAGGTGTTTTGGCAATGCAGAGATCTTTGGGCGGGGGGCCAGGCCAGGCTTTTCCCCCCTCTGGTCAAATCCAGATGTTCTCCAGTTAGATGTTCCCTCTGCCCCCTCCCAGCATGATCCCAACATACAGTAGTACTTTGCAGGCTCTGCCACCAACATCCCCCAGATGTGCCTTTCTGCCCCGTGCATCTGGACAGCATCACGGCTCAGCTAATAACGGTGGGCCCATTAAAGCTGGGGGAGCGACATAACTCAGCCCAAGCCTGCCTGCCTTTGGCTCTTGCCCTCACCTGACCTCTGTCCCCCGGTGCAGCCGCACACCTTGGTTCCATCATCATAAATGTGTTTCCTGTGGCTCCCTTAAGACCCACCACCAACATCCAGGACACGCTGCAGGCTTTCCAGAAAGGCTTTCCGCCTTCAGAAACACAATGGATGGTGTGCGTGTATGCATATATGTTCTTGTGTGTAGCTGTATGTCTGTGTGTGAGAGAGAGTGTGTGTGTGTGCGTGTGTTGACGTGAACAATAAGGGAAGCAGTTCCCTTTTTCATACCCGGAGCGGGACAAGACTTTGCTGGAATTGCAGGTGGAAGGACAGGTTTTCCTGTATGAGAGAAATATTGAGAGACTATCCACTGAAAAATTCCCCAGGTTGAAAATGTTTCCGGTGCTTCATTTTTCCATGGGAATTTTCAATCTCTTTTTTTTCAATTAAAAAAAATGATGTACCAATTACAAGACACAAATGATGCTCCTGCTACGACATCCGCGGAATCACCCTCTGCTCGATGGATGTCCTTTCCCTAAGGTGGGGTTTATCTATAACCCCTGTTTCTACCCCCCAGGAATTATTGACCTGGACCAGATACAAACCAACAATCACATGTTGCCATGGGGCAAAATCAATAAAGTCGCATTAAAAGAATCTGAAGCTGATCAAATGGGTTATAAACGGTTTCACACCAAAACAGAGCGACGCGGCGTGGGTGAGGGCGGTGAGGGAGACTTGAGGTGAGGAGAGGGGACAGAGATTTCGACTCCTCTGGAAGGGGATGGACGGGTGGCCAAACTGGGCAGAACAGCCGGTCCTCTCCTACCCACCAGCGGGGCTAAAATCAACAGCCGGTGTCTTTTCCGTTTCAGATTTCCAAACAAAAGCAAAATTAAAAAAAACAACCAAGAACAAAATAAAACAAAAGCAAAATGACATAAGGGGAGTACATGTTGCCCTCAACAACAGGTTAATGATTTAGATGTATTAAAATTTATTTTCATAAATAGAATGGCTAGCTCAGTGGCCTAGGTTTCTGACCACAAAGCCAGAGGTTGGGGAGTTCGATTCCACACTGGGCCGATCCACGGGGTCCCTTCCAGCTCTACCGTTCTAAGGTTTATTCCCAAATCCACACCGCTGCTCCCTGGAGCCTTTTTCGTCTAAGAAACAGCTACCTGAGCCCTTGCCTCCTTCATATCCTCCTAAGGGGCTGCCACCAAGGTTTCCCTTGGTTGATTCTACAAAATCGCAGCCACCCCACGACCAACATGGAAAACTCTCCTGCTTTCTAGAGCAAAGGACTCCCTTCGCTCTATCTGGAAATGAAGTGAACCAATGGAGAGCCAGGTTTGAAAAACTTCCTTTTTTTAAATTAAAGCCCTAAAAAACATGCGTGCATACACCCCTGAACACCAAACCCTAAATCTCTCCCACCACCACCACTTAAGCTTCCGTGGCCATCGGTCACAGATTTGGAAGCTGGCATCCCAAAAAGGGAAGATTTACAAACCCCAGACCAGGGACACAAATTTTGGTTTATGTTGTCCTTGTGCAGGAAACAGGCAAACATTTCTTTTTTCCTCCAAGCGGCAAGACAAATAAACAAAACAAAATAGAAGGAAGCGGAACAAAACAAAACAAAAACGAAAATCTGAGGTCTCTGCGATATTTTGGGGTTTTGCAAGACTGATTTGGGGGCATTTCTACAAAAACGCCAGTTCCTGCAAAGCTGCAGGCAGTGTTGGCTTTTCTTTTGCAGATTAGCAGAGGCTGCAACACTGGGCGGGCTGCTCCTGTCTCCTCCGGTCAATGGGCTTCTCGTTTTTTTACTTGCGATGGGACTGCTTTTGCGCTACCACTTCCCGTTCCCCTTAGCTGCCAGGACATCGGCGCATCCCACGCCAGCAAAGAGGAACAAGTTTCCCCACCGGACCGGCAGCTGCTGCTGAAGCCCGGAGAAGGCCAGCGCTGAGAAGCCAAGGGTGTACCATCTGTCCCTCTTCTCCCACCGCAGAGCAGACGTAGCGCTGGAGGAGGGAGCAAAAAGAGTGCTTGGAAAATCTCGCGTTTTTGCAGAGCGCACTGAAGCATGGCCATAAATACAGCATGTGCTGCAGCTTCCTGTTCCTGGAGATGTCAAGGCTGAAACCTTGACCACATGATGGGTCCTTCTGAGGTCACAGCAGTGACCCCTTCTCCAAAAATTGCTAAGCGTTTGCACATCTTTCTCTCTCTGTGCATGTGTGCGTGTCTGATTGTGAGGGAGAGGGAGGGAGAGAGAGAGAGAGAGAATGTGGTGGATTCTCTCTCCTTGGAGGTTTTGAAAATAAAGGGCTGGGTGACCCTCTGTCTGTCATGCTTTAGCTGCAATTTCCTGTACTGACAGCAGGTGAGACTAGATGACCTTGGGAGTTAATTCTGATTTCAAAATACTTTGAGTCTTATCAAATCATCACGGATGCTGCACACAGATTAACGCCTGCACGCCAAACCACTGAGGACTGCTATCACCTGAGAGCAAGGAGAGCTTTTTAAAAGCCATTTCATAAACAAAATTCAGGGCTTTTCCCTCCTGCACTGGCTGCCCCTGGATTTGTCTCGCTGCTTGAGGAATGGGGCAAGAATGCCAACACCCTGAGACGTAACCCCGCATGACAGGTCCAACTCTAAGGATTTTCTTCTGCTAAAACTTTGCATTTC